AATATTAAAATTCTCTCTCTCTCTCTCTAAAATAAAAATCTACAAAAATTATGTAAATAAATAAATAAACCACAAACACAGGTTCCAATGACTCTGTGCCGTCACTAGAGCAGGACCCCAATGTCGCCTGGCTTCCTAGCAGCCAAAGCAAAGAAGCAAAGCAGACATACTTGTGCTGCCTTTTGCTGACCTTAGAGAGTAAAAAGGCACCAGTTGACCAGAGCAGCTGTTTCCGGTCGTGGGCTGAGATGAAATTCCTCATGGTCCTCCCTGGAGGATTCTTTTAATGATGTAGTAAACAACAACTCGAGGTGCTGGTGAGAAAGTTTTTATTTCCTACATCTGTTTCTTTAATGTCCTTCTATGTGGGCTGGTGACACGATACCAAAAATAGATCCATCAACGTCCCAGTGGGAATGGGATTCAAGCATGCAGTCCCCACTGACCTGTGGAGGTCACTCTGTGCCTCTGAACTGCAGTCTTCTCAGCTGCAAAACAGACCAAACACCGGGCCCGCCTTTGAGGGCTGACAGAAACTCAAATGGAGTGAGGAGTCTCGACTGCCTGTCATGGTCTCTGGGACACAGTGGGTCCCGTCGCATTCATCAGCAACCTTGAAAAAAGCCATTTTTTGAAGAAAGTGTGTGTGGTGGGGGGCAGATGAGTTTCTTCTACTTGCTTTAACAGAACGACACCTTTCCATGCGGCTCCCGGCACCCTCGTAGCTTGGCAGGGTGCAGAGGGCAGGGTGGGCACAGAGGCAGGCTCTGCTCCACCCGGCCACTCAGGGACCCAGGCTCCTTCCACTGTGGTTCTGCCATCCCCGGGGACTTCCAAGTCCTCTCCAGTCCTGGGGACGGAGGAAGACGTGCGAGAAGTGTCAGTGGGCCGGGCCTGGAATTGGCCGGTGTCATTTTCACCCATAATCCATTTCACAGAAACCAGAGGTGGGCAAACATTGTCTGTGCCCCACGTGTTGGGGAAAAAGAAAGCCACACTTTTGGAGAGAGCCTGTGAGCTCTGGAGCCTCTGCCACGCCAGCAATCAAGTGGAACTTGGTTCTTCCCGTCGGCTGGAGCGAGGCAGCTCGGGGACCCGCGGCGTGTCCCCCGACCATCTGTTCCTCACACATCCTGTGCTGTCTGTGGTCTGGAAGCAGAGAATTTGACCGCTGGTCACTGACCTTTCCCGCATGCTGTTGTTTTTAATGTCATGGACACTTGAGAAAGCACAGCGTTCCCGGGCCAGCTACGTCCTTGCCGTGGTCGAGCAGGGAGCCTTGCTCTATCCCCTTGGCCACCCCATGCGCCCATCTGCTCAGCTCAGCATGTGCTACCTACCTGGGGGGCTCAGAGGTGCCCCGACCCTTAGGGTCCTTCAGTTCCATTAAAGAGGCAAAATCAGCTACACGCAAACGACTCAGGCAAGACACCAGACCACTGATGGAGAAGACCAAGGGTGGTTTCCAAGAACATGGATTAGAGCAAGCCACGCGCCCAGAGCAATCCATGCTCCCAGAGCAGCCACGTGCGCAGACACTTGGATGAGAGAAGAGGTGAGATAAGGTGGCCGTCAGTGAGCCACAAATCAAGTCCATTGGCCACAACTGACGTCCTGGAGTTGGCTGTGGTCAGGCCCTGGGACTGTCGCTGGGCTTTGCAGCCAGGTGGAGAGGGAAACGTGGCCCTGAGCAGCCCTGAGCAGCCTGGATGGCAACGGGAACCAGCATCTCCAGGCGCTAACTACCCCATACAAGCTACACGAGGGAGATGCCATTACCAGCCCCTGGGAAGGAGAAGCCCAGCCTGCCCACAGTCACACGGCTGGTGGGACAGGAATTGGAATACAGACCCCGCCTCTAACCCGCCTCCTAGACTCAAGATAAAGCTCTCCCAGTAGCTGCCCCAAGTGTGGACATGGTGGTCACCAACAGCCTTGCCAAAGGCCCTGGCGGGGTGCAAGCTCCATCCCAACTCGCCACACCTTGTGTCCCTGCCAATGCACATTTCAGATCCTCAGCCAACATCCCAGTGGCGAGTCCATCCACCTTCGCGGCTGGCTCCCTTCTGGTGGCCCTGGGTAGGCTGGAGGGCGGGGGAGTCGTGTCATCAGCTGCTGGCTCCTGACTGTCTCTCACTGAGCTTTGACTGCATGTCACCGCCATCACTCAACAAACTCATCTGGAAGATGCACACCGCCAGGCAGCCCCAAGCTCTGGTCCCACCCCACGAACACAGCGGCGGGGACCCATCCTCACGACGTTCATGATTGTGCAGGAGAGACGGGCATCAAACAAAGACACCAGAACACCGTGGAACCCACCAGGGAACGGAATGCAGAAGCCAGGATTTCAGTTCCCTCTGGGGGAGAAACACTTCACCCCGAAACCAAGTGAGGAAATGGACCTCATCAGGCAAAGAGGGGGACCAAAGCCCCGGGCTGACACGGGGAAGGCTCTGGGAGGGGATGGCTGAGAGGGGACAAGGGTCTCAAGGCAGCTCCAGTGGCTGGGAAAGCCAGAGGAAGGGAAGACAAACGAAGGCCAACCCCATCCGAAAGATACCGGGGGCCAGAGCCCGGAGGAGGAAGGCACGGAGGCTGGTCTTGTTTGTTTTAGAATTTGCTAGAAGTTAGACTTTTCCTGGCAAGTGCACCAGCGTCGGGGATTCTGTAGAGTAGAGCTGAGAACAGACCTAAGGCACCATTTGTTAAAGGAGGGAAGGAAGGATGGATGGATGATGGAAGGATGGACAGTCAGACTAGATGGGTGGGTGGAAGGATGGGTGCCATGGATGGATGATGGATGGATGATGGATGGATGATGGATGGATGATGGATGGATGATGGAGGGATAATGGATGGATGATAGAGGGATGATGGATGGATGATGGAGGGATGATGGAGGGATGATGGAGGGATGATGGAGGGATGATGGAGGGATGATGGAGGGATGATGGATGGATGACAGATGAATGATGGATGAATGATGGATGATGGAGGGATGATGGAGGGATGATGGAGGGATGATGGAGGGATGATGGAGGGAGGGATGATGGAGGGATTGAAGGCTATATGCTGAAAGACTCGGGAAGCCACTTTGGGAAGGAAAGCTGACTGGGGGGGACAGGAGGCAGGACCCCCATTAGAATGCTTGATCCTAATCATGAAAAATCCGAATGGACCAGTTGGAGGAAGCTCCTTGAAGAAGCTTTTAGCTCTGCTCTAAGAAAAGTTGTGTTTGGCCAAATGAAGGCACTGGGTCCGAGAGTCCAGCAGGGCTCCAGCCCATCCCAGAGAAGACTGCACTGAGCTGGATGTGGGAGGTGTGTGGCAATCGCAGTGGTCTGAGAAGGGCCAGAGGGAGCCCAGGGACCATGTGCCGCTCCTCTGCGTCATTTACCCATGGTTCACAGTGCACACTGACGCTGGGAAGGGGAGGAGGAGGAAGCCTGTCTCACACACCTACTGTGCGCCAGGCCCTAGTACTTAAGATACACCACCATCTTCCCAGGCTGTGCTATTGTGACCCCACCCTCCCCAGATCATGCAGAGGAGGGCACATGTGTCCAGGAGGCAGCTCAGAGAGGTCAATTGCCTGCCCCAGGTCACACCAGCCAGATGGGTCTTCCGCTCTCCTGGATCTCTCCTTTACTGAAAATGCACCTTGGAGAGTTCAAGCCACCAGGGTTGGCCTTTCCCAAGCGCAGGTCTTGGGTGCTAAGTGAACACCGTGTCTCTTACAGTCTGTGCCTGGGTTGGAGGCAGGGTGGAGGTGCTGGTGGGTAGAGCGGGCGGGTGCTCCCGACAGGGCTATCGACACCGCCAGTGTCCTCTGGGAAGGCTTTGATGCTGTTTGGTGACTGCATCTGCAGTTTGATCTTGCCAACGGGCAAAGCAAGGCATGAAGCCAGGATTTCCAAATCGCTTTCTAGACCCCCATAATCCCCGGGGCTTCGTGAAACACCCTGCAGATGCCCAGATAACCCTGATTTAAAAAGTTAGACACCCAGAGCAATGCAAATGGCAACAGCAGCAGCAACTGTTCTTCCCTGTATCAGACGAGGATTCAAAGGCATGCTAATGGCCACTGTCAGAGGGCGGGAGGTAAGCAGGCCTCCCACACTGGGCGGGGAGAGCGGAGGATAACATCTTCCCTAGAGCAATTTGGAATTGTTCATGGGAATTTGTATCTGCTGTGACACAGCCAATTCCCCTTGGGGCGTTTATGCAGGGGACAGAATTAGAGGTGGAGTTGCAGATTGTCAGGGGCTGCTGAGAAGGGTTGGACCAGGCCAGGGTGGGTATGTTGACACCGTGGAAATCCGGGGAAGGCGGCAAATCAGGCCCCGCCCCCTGCTCCCCAGCACCACAATCCTGAACAGTTGCCAGTTCAACACGGGCTGGCGACCGCATGGCCACCGCAGTGACCAGCAGTTGGAAGTTAGCTCAATGAGCAAAAGGGCGTCCATCCAACAGGACATCGTGTGGCCACTGAGATGAGCCCCGAGAGGAGTGTGCGGGTGGGCAGGGGAAGGTGCAGAGGGCGGGAGACGCGTGCACAGGGCAGTCCGTTCTGAGCCCACACATGTAGGTGCCCTCGCACGCATGGGCACACTCACTGGGTAAGCGCCACCCTCTGGAGGTCTCTCCGAGAAGCCTGCGAGAGTGGCCGGGTCACCTCCAGGAGGGCTGGGATGGGCCGATGCCCAACCTGCCCCTGGGACTGGTTCTGAGAGGCACATTTTCCAAAAACCTTTAAAAATTGCCTTCATTAGAATGTCCCTCGCGGCTCCTGCACAAGACTGGGCGCGGGACTCGGGGGCCAGGGCTCTCAAGCCAGGGAGGAGCTCACGGGCCCCTTCACTCCCCATCCTTGGGTTTGGAGACGCCATGCTTCTGGTTTCCCACGCAAGAGCACCGCGTGGACGGGAAGGAGAGTGCACACCTCCTGCAGGGAGGGGGGACAGCGGCTACAGGGGACAGGAAAGGGACCCCCATGAGATGCCACTTCACACCCGCCACCTGACTCTCATCAGGAAGAGCAAGGGGACAGAGGAGACCTCTGCACGCCGTTGGCCATTCTGCAAAACAGCCTGGGGCTCCTCAGAAAACCAGCAACCCATCTCCACACCGCGGCCACCTCTGGGTGCCACCACAGGGAGGGAGCTCCGGTCCCGAGGAGATGCCCCAGCTCGCCGCAGCTCTGCTCACGACTGCCACGAAGTGGTGTCCTGTGCTCAGGAGGGGACAGACAGTGGCGTGCACGCCCTGGAGCCCCGCCCAGCGTTCAGGAGGGAAGCCGGTCACTGTGACAGCGTGGGTGAGCCCGGAGGCCACCATGTTCAGTGGGTAACCTGGACTGGGCCCCGCGCTGGCCTGGCCTCTCCCTTGGTGCCTCTCCCGTCTAGAGGCAGAGAGGGGACAGGGTCGCCAGGTCAGGGCGGGTGTGCGCTGTGGGCAGGGGACTTCGGGTCCCCGTCTGCAGGAGTGGGGGGGAGCGTGGCCACTGTTGCTGTGGCTTGGAAACGGCCCAGGGGAGATCGTAAGGGTCCCCACCACTAAAAGCTGATGTCTGTAGAGTGACAGGGCCTGACTCGGGGACACAGGGGATGACCCTGGGGGTGCTTCCTGCCCAGGTATGTCCAGGCCAGAGACTCCTTGTGGCCACTCCACGGCCCAGGGTGGCCTGAGGTTCCCAGGCAGCATGGACGCCCCAGGTCCTCCCTAGTCGACAGAAGCAGGGACTCCCAGGGCAGCCAGAGTCTGACACGCTGAGGTCCGAGAGTCCCTGTCATGGACAGAGAAGCCACTTGGGGGCCTGCCTCTCTGTGCAGCTGACAGACCCAGGATCGAGGCTCAGTCGCTCCCTCAATGATCTCAGGAGTTCCCTTCCCAGACACGTGGCAGGCGGAGTAGGAGGCTCCGGCCAAAGTGGGAGGCCCCCCGGGAGGGAGGGGGCTCAGCTCTCCAGGTACAAGGGGGTGGGTGACCTGGAAGGGCAGAAGGAACAGCCTGTGTGCGCAGAGGCTGGAGGCGGAGCCCGGCAGGCAGAGGACGGCCGCCAGGGGTCATCTCTAGGCCTCCGAGGCTGAGCATCTCTGTAAAACAAGGATGACGCCAGGTCTCAAGGACCCTCCCAGGCCCGCTGCCTGGCCTCTAGTGTGCCCAGGTCAGAGCATGTTCACCACGGAGAGTGACATAGATTCCCTGCCAGGAGGTAGAAGCCCCCCAGTGGCAGAGGAGCCCAGGCCCCAGGGTTGCCTTCCCACGGAGGCCGGAAACCCTCTAGGTGGGCCCCTCCCCACTCACCTTCGCCCCCAGGCCTCTCGCGGTGACATGAGGCCCTATGACAGCTGGCTTTGGATAAGTTCAGCGGGCAGCTGTCAGGGGGCCCCTGGCTGGAGCACGTGGTCATCTGCCCCAGTGGAACCGCTCCTGGGTTCACTCTGCGGGAGGCTGTTGAGAGCCGTCTCTGCCACGTGGGCTCTGGAGGTGACGCTGGTGGGTGAGGGGTATGTGCCTCCCTGAGGCCTTCAAGGGAAAAGGGGGACAATGAACAAGGGATCCCGAGACCGTCGTGCCTGAGGGAGAGAGGGCAGAGAGGCAGAGGCTATTCAATCAGGGTGGTCAGGGTTGAGTCCTCTCAGAGGAGGACACTTGAGCCGAGACACCAAAAATGAGATGAAGTCCCTTGGGAGGTCCGGGGGCAGGGCACTCCAGACAGGGGGGACAGCAGGTGCAAAGGCCCTGAGGTTGGGTGAAGCCCAGCATGATGAAGGGCAGGAGGTTGCTGTGGCTGGACAACAGTGAGCACAGGCCAGTATGAAGGGGTCTGCAGGAGCCAGGCCACTGGCTCAGGTCAGAGTGGGCTTTTGTCCTGTGTGTAAGCAGATGGAGAGAATGGACCAGGGCGTGCCAGGAGGGGACCCCAGCCACTGTGAGTGGCATGGATGCAGAAAACCAGCACAGTGACTGGAAGTCCTCACTGGGATCCCAGTTCCTTCCCTGGGTGGAGGGTGTGGTCAGGAGAACCCCCCGTCTTTCACGAGGACCACCAGGGTTGAGCACCGGCCGCCTCACACTTGGGAAGCCTGCCAATCTCTGCCCCTGATCCTGGCACCCCAGACAGTGACTCACCTAATGAGACAGCCGGCAGCTGATGCGCTTGGGTTCGCACCGCGCACACGGGTGTGAAGTCAAAAATCCAGGGAGCGAGTATTTCCAGCACCGGGGACGCCAAATGCAAGCACTTTATTTAAAGAATTACCGAGCTGGCGTGAGGGAGGCTTATCAGCCTCCAGCTCCCGGTGGGGGAGACTCGGGAGGCGCAGCTTGGTGGCTAAAAATAAGGGGAACCTCGGCCTGTTTCCATGAGATGGGCCGAAGCACCACGTCCCACCCTTCCAGCCCCCACCTTCCCACCCTGCCTTGGGCCAGCGTGGAGGTGGACCTGGCTGCCGAGAAGCTTGGCCAGAGCATCGGACACAGGTATCCTGCCTGAGGCGTGGCAGCCACTCCTCCGCCCAGGCCCAGTGCACACTGCAGCCAGCTCCCTCTGCCAGCCAGGCCTGGGGCTTAGGAGCCAGACTCCCGGGTGGAGCTTGGCCCCCTTGCGACCTTGGGCTGGAGTTCTGAGGACAAGGACAGAAGGCCCACCTTGGAGGCCTTGAGAGGCTGCAGATGCATGTGCCCCGGGCTGGGACGTGCACCCTGAGCAGACCTGATTGTGCTGGCTCAGGTGGCCCAGCGCCCTCATGGCCTGCTGCCTTTGGCCAGTGGCCACAGTTGAGCCAGGAAGAGGACAGGAGCCTC